CCACTCACCTCAGCCTCCCAAAGGCGCGAGATTACAGGCTGAGCCACCGAGCCCGGCATGGGAGGGGTTTTTAAATAGTGTAACCTGGAATGACTTCTTCAAGGAAATGCCCTCTGAGCAAAGACCAGACAAAGTGAAGGAATGGCTGTGGAGCTCTCCAGGACAGGAGCCTGAAGCAGGAGCATCCTGGCCTGTTCAGGAGGAGCAGAGGTCCAGGGCTGGGGAGGAGGAGACAGGGGATAGTGGGGTCAGGGGCTCAGGGGCACATGCAGGGTCAGGTGAGGTCTGGGAGACCACAGTTAGGACTTAGGATGTCTCTTCCTAAGGGTGATGGGAAGCCATTTGGAGGGTCTGTCAGGGAGCCGACATCCTCTTCTCTGTTTGTAGAAGATCATTCTAGCTGCTGCATGAAAAACGGACTGTGGAAAGCCAAGAGCAGAGACAGGAAGGAGCTTAGGAATCTGAGAGAGCAGGAATTCTGGTCAGGGTGGTGCAGGGGCTGGGACAAGAGTGGGGCAAGAGATAACTAGAGTGGGGCATATCTTGAAGGACATTAAGACTAGATTTAGGGTGGGAGGAAAAGAGGCATAAAGGATGACCTCAAAAATTTCCAAAAAAAAATTTCCACCTGAGCAGATGAGCGCCTTGCCCAGAAGCCTTGGGGAGTTCCAGCCTCCCTGCTTCACTTTCAGGAAGGTTCAGGGCCTTTTCCAGAAAGATGCCCTGGCGGCTGCCCAGTTAACCTGCTTCTAATGCTGCTCTCAGTGCTATAGTTGGAGCACTACAGATGAAGAACACTCGACTTAAAGTAAATAAGCACAGACATAAGGTTGCACATCTCCCTGTCATTCATTTCATCTTAATGCACTATCCTGAGTGGAGGGGAAAGAGGTCAGCACATCCTGTATGCAGCCCACCTTCCCATGCCTCTGTCCACCTGAGGGGCTGTGGCAAGCCCTGGAACGGCTCCTCCTGCATGCAAGTGAGGTGTGCTGTTTCACTTTTTTCCCTGAGAGGAATCCTTGGATCCTGGGCTCTTTTTTGTGTAAGATCATTGCCCAGCAAGTGTGTCTCTCAGGAGGACAAAAACTATTTCTTTGGCAAACACATGGTACAGAATGAGCTCCTACTGGATATTAATAGGGTGTTGAATACACAAAAAGGAGTTATGGCTTTATTTATTTGTAAAGGGTATCCTTGTTTTAAATTTGATAACAGCATTGAAAAAACCCAAAGCTTACCTCTGTACAGCTTCCCTAAGCCTTTTCCCCAACTAGAGGGTTAAAGCTTAAGATGAGGGTGTTTCTTAGACTCTCATGCACTGTGTGGAGGGAGAGATGACTGGGAAGATTGTTATAGCCTGGCTGCTGACCAAGGAAGGACTTCAAAAGGAAAGATTTCCTCAGGAAGACTCGAGAGGACCATGAAGGCCACAGGGCTGGTGTCCAGGGATGATGTACTAACTCTAGGAAGATGGCCCTGACATGGTCCCTTCACTGGTTGTTCACTCAACGTGTGTGAAACACATACCTGAGATGGGTCAGGCTTTGTTCTAGGTTCTGGGGAGACATGATCAAATACCATGGATGCTGTGCCTGCATCCCAGAGCTCGAAGAGGAGACAGACATGACAAACATGGACAGATTATGGTAAGGGACATGCAGGAAAAGAACAGAACAGCTTGTGGGCAGGACCTGTGTCTGCAAGGAGGTGACCTTTCTGAGGTGGAGTATGAGGGGCAGCTGCAGGTGATCCTTTTGGTTTCAGGGTGTTGACCCCATGAAAGGAAAATCCTGTGAGAGTCAAATATAGACTCTGTTTTCAGCTGCATGTGTTTTGAGAAAGGCGGGTGGATGTGGAGAACAGGTTCAAGGGAATACTTGCATGCTAAGCCTCCTTACTGACCAGGCTGTTTGAAACAGGTGAAGGACAAGACCACAGGATGTTGACCCAGACAGCGTGCCTCACTCACAAATTCAGGTTTCTCCATGGTTCTTTTACAGCCACTGCGGGATTTGGTTCCATAGCCGAAAATGAAGATGCTCTCCTCAGGCACTTATTCCAAGGTTATCAAAAATGGGTCCGTCCTGTGTTGAATTCTAATGACACCATAAAAGTATATTTTGGATTGAAAATATCCCAGCTCGTAGATGTGGTGAGTAATCCTTTGTGTTTAGTCCTTAACCTGTGTGAATCTAAAGTTTTTTTCTCTTCCCTATGTCTGACATTTCAGTTTTTGAAATGATTTACTGTGAGAGAAAAGCTGCCTGAGAAACTAGTGAAAAGGAGGGAATATGAAGTTGTCAGAGCATGACATATTAGTTAGTGAGGGACCTTTATTGCTGGAGGGTGGAGATGGTCAGGATAGTCACTGCCCTGGCCGGGTTTGCTGAGCACCCAAGGAGAGGTACAAAGGACTGCTGAGAAAGAGGCTGAGCCCGGAGATGGTAGGGTGTGTGCAGGAAATTAATTGACAGTGATGATAAGCCCAGGGCAAGGGCCATCCCTGCTTTCCCTGGACGACCCATCACCTTTCCTGAACTTACCCACACTTTAATATTGTCTGCTAATTTTCCTGTTGGGCTTGCATCTGTCATGATTGTTTTCTTCAGGGAAACCAGAGAAACTTAACTCCCCAAATGCAACAAAACCATCCTTCTGTGGTTTCCAAAGTCCCAAATAATCCTCCCACATTGCTCAAACTCCTTGCATACCACACAAGCATACACACAGTCACCCACCCCAGCTAGCTCAGTATCCCAGGATTCCTTCTAGAAGGCATGCAAAACCTATCTCCAATTTAACTAGTTTCCTTCTGCTTTGTACCTTTAAAGTGCCTTCTGGGTTATGCAATTTTATATAAATTTCATCACAATGAACCGCTACTTGCTTTTGTTTTAAGCAAAATGTGCCTGCTATTTTAGAATCGTATGTCACTTAACTGTTCTTACGCTGAGAATCCTTTGCACTTGAACACCTCAGAAGTAAAATTCAAGCAGGTTTTTCTGATTTAAAAAAACCAAAAAAAAGGCACAACTCCTTTTGATTTCAATTTACAATATCTTTTCGATTGTTATTTTCTTAGGATGAAAAGAATCAGCTGATGACGACCAATGTGTGGCTCAAACAGGTAATTTCTTTTATTTTTTCTTCTGTGTAATTCCTTTATTTTCTGCATATCAGTGCTCCACCAACACTACAACCATAAAGAACACAGTTCCAAGTATTGTACTTTTTAGTTAGGGAAGATCACATTCTACACACTCATTTGCTTATATTAAACAAGATTAACCTCATTCAAAACTTACTGCAGTTTATAAATTCACATAAATACAGAAACTGATGCAATTAAACAAAAATTTTAGGGTCTTATTTTGTAATTCTTAGATTAAAACTTTCTCTGCAGGCTATAATTACTTACTTCATAATCACCAATGGCTATTGTTCAATTTAACTATGTTAATTATAAAGTTTTTATATCCATCAAGAAAATTTAAGTGCAATTTACAATTTCTTACTAAAAGATTTATGGCTTTCCAAATTTCAAATATTTGCTTCCCCCTCCCCTCCTAGATATTTCAAATAAACTAAAAATAACCACATCTCACCTGCAACATTCAATAATAATAATCACTTGATGCACAAAATTTTAACTATGACTCCAATTTTTAAAAAATGTTTAACTCTGCCCCCAGCTATTTTAAGACACACAAAAAAGACTGCCTACCAATCTAACTGTCTTCACAAGGTAGAAATGCTACATTTAAGAATTAACATGAGGATTTCAAGTTTTCTCCAGTTTAGGCATTTTTATCTTTGCGCTTGTTTTGTTTCAGCATGTTACTAGCATTGATATTTGGATAACCAATGTTTATGTGCCTTAAAATGTAATCATTTAAAACACTAAGGATTACATTTATGGTGGAGCTTTAGGAATTTTAAAAAGCAACCAAAATGTTCTTAGATGTGTTTATCAGCCTCGTTTTTAGAGATAGTAGAAATATCTCTAGATATTTAGCATACTAAAGTGAAACTGAGAACTTTATACTTTAGCTGTATCTTGAAATCAAAAATCCCCCTGAACCAGCAGGAGCCTACAACACAACCGTTTCTCATTTGCTTTAAGTAAAACATTTGTCAAGAGTTTTACTTTAATACTTTTTTACTAGCCTTTCACTTTCATACATCTTTGGTAAAAGTTCCGTTGTACGATATGGCCAAAGCACGAAGGACAAATACTGTCCAATCATACCATGATATCCTGCTCAATTCTAGTTTTCAGACACCCTCATAAACAAAGCCCACTCCACCTTTTCCTGTAGACTGTCTTTGCAGCCTACATTTCAGAAATTCCCTAAGTTTAGTTCCTTGAGGATCGCTAAAATTAATCCTTAAGGCTATGTAAGAACCAGATGCCGCTTCACAATTCTTGTATTAAGCATTAATATCATGTTCAGAATATGATCATAGTGGTCTCGATCTGGTTACTGGTCCTAACCAGTTAACCAGTTAATCTTGTTAGGATCTCCATATCACCAGTGACCATACTGCTTACCCTTGAGGAAGAATAAGTTTACATTCATTGTCATCTGTAGGCTCTTTCACTTCATCCTACTTCCGCTTTAATTGTGAACCCTCAAGTCTACACATCACTCATTCATCACATTCCCTGCCTTAAAGGAGACAGTGTACTATTGAACCAACAGGATATCTGACTTACTATTTGCATCAAACAGGTCATTTCAATCCAAGGATTGTGTCTGCCAACCCAGTCATTTGAATCCTTTTCTGTTTAGAAAGGCTCCCATCTGAAGCATAGTTATTTGAGAAGGCATATTGTGTTCCTCAGGGAGATGTCTGGGAATTGTTAAGAAGGGCGTATTCTTTTTATTTGCTCTTGTGAGTATTGGAGTATGGTCCTGGAGCTCCCAGGAGTAACTGTTCTGTCATTGCTCCCAGAGCAAAACTTCCCCAGGGAGTTGGAGTCAGGTAAGAGGGTGGAAGACCGCTCTCCTACTTGGAGCCAGGGCGCTGGTTCCTGGGCTACTTGAAGAAAAATAGAAAGAAAGAAATACTCCAAGATGCATCTTTCTCCCATTCAGGGTACCACAACTAGATGAGAAAATCAGTAATGTCCAATTCTCCCTAGTCACTCTGTCCTCTGTGGGTAGAATCAATCTACTTATAGTGCCTCTTGTTCTTCCTGAGAAAGACTAAGCACAAAGGAGGGAACACCAGAGGGCTGCCGGTCATTCATTTCAGAACAAAGTGAGGCCCAGAGCAATATAATGAATATGAGTTTTTGTGACATCTCTAAAATGCATTTTGAGTCTTCTCAGCTTTCCTCTTAGAAGTTTGCTTTTAGCATGGAAGAGCCTATTTCCTAAAACCATAGGAGTCTATCCAGAGGGATTTGTTCTAGAGTTGTCAGTAAATAATTACCGTTCAAAACCCAATTTCATGTATGCTGTGTAATGGAGAAAATATTAATACTTGCTTGATAGTGAATGAGAAGTTTCATTTAATTGCTTATTTTTGTTTTTACTTTGTTAGTATTTTTTTTTTTTTAGTGAATGTCAAGATGTTGCCTAATCAGCTCATAGATTTAAAATATTACTGATGGGATATCTTTCTGCTAATGGTTTCTGAGTAACACAAAAGAAACTCTGAGAAGATTCCATAAACTTTATTTTGTGTCATCAAATATTTCCCAACCCAAAAACTTTAATCAGAGTTAGAGAATTATTATAATTTTAACTACTTTCTATTCCTCTGATTTCTTTAGTTGGAAGATATGTTAGCAAGTGGTAAAATGGATCTGCATGTCGTCTTACTTGCAAACAAAAATATCCAGGAGAAAAATAAGCTGGGAATGTATACATAAAAATACAATTTAAGTAAGCACATCTTGCTGTGTACATATCTCATTTCACAGTGACTTAACCCACTTTTCCAATCCAAAGACTGTGGGATTTAGAAGCATTTTTAGTTGATAAAGACTAATATTAAGTCCTGTATTTGAGTCTGCAGGGGAGAAAACAATTTCTACCTTCCTCTTTAAATATAAATAGGCCTAGGAAGTTAATAAAAATAAAACCAACCCGAATGCCCTTCCTCCTTCACACACTCCTCCTTCCCCAACTGCTCAAGATTAAGTAAGGTTTTTTTGTTTTGTTTTGTTTTGTTTTGTTTTTTGAGTCAGAGTCTCACTCTGCCGCCCAGGCTAGTGTGCAGTGGCATGCTCAAGGCCACCCCAGTGTCAACTTGCTGGGCTCAGGAAATCCTTCCACCTCAGCCTTCCAAGTAGCTGGAACTACTGGTACCTGGCTAATTTTTTCATTTATTGTGGAGACGAGGTCTCACCAAGTTGACCAGGCTGGTCTCAAACCCGTGGGTTCAGGCCATCCTTTCGCTTCGGTCTCCCAAAGTGCTGGGATTACAGGCTTGAGCCACCGCTCCTAGCCAAGTAAGATCTTATTAATCTCTTCCACAAATACTGAACCAGGGACTCTTGACCGTAATATTGAGATAGCAGGTGCTTTTCACTTGTCTTGTGATTTTAAAACGAGGAATCATTTCAGCCAAAGAGAACAGCATTAGACATGCAGGGGTGGGAGTCTCGGGTTTCTCGGGCCTCCGCTATAGCTTTGGAAACGACTTCCAGCCAAGTGTGCCATCAGACTCCCAGGAGCCTGTAAATGCCATCAGGCCAAGACTAAATTAAATCCTAAACGTCTGCAATGTCCAAAACTGAGCAAGAGAAATCCGTTGGAGCAGAGCAAGTTGGCACTTGAAAAAGTCAGCCTGCTGACTTAAGTTCCCATTTCATAAAAGCAATGAGAATAATAGACATTTTTTGTACTAATTTAAGGGATACAGTGAAATTTTGTTGCATGAATATATTGCATAGTGATGAAGTCTTGACTTTTAGTGTACCCATCACCAGAATAATGTACGTGGTATCCATTAAGTAATTTCTCATCGCCCATCTCCCTTCCATCCCCTACCCTTCCGAGTCTCCAGTGTCTATTGAAAATAATAGACTTTAATTGTATTTAATTTACAAAAATTGTCATATCTCTTATCTCATTTAATTATCTCATCCACCTGAATTAGGAAAGGAGCTATCATTACCCCCGATTTACAGAGGTAGAAGAGTCAGAAACTCATCCATCTGGAATCTGGGTCTCCTAACCCCTGTGCAGGGCCTTTTGTGCCTTGTAAGCCTCTTCACTAAATCCTAAGACCTGTTTCTAAATCACAGGAGGAGTCAAAGCAAGAGCAACAAAGCTGCACCTTCCAGAGAGCTACAGAGATTATTATCAAATGACAACCATTCATGTAGATTGATTTTTGAGTGGGAAATGTTACAGTGGGTATTAGTCAGTGAGTGCTATATTATGACACAAACCATGTGGGAGCAGAAAGAAAAGTAAATTCTTTGGCATTGGGTGTCAGGCAGGGAAGGCTCTCTGGAGGAGGAGGCCTTTAAACTTCACCATGATGTTACTTTCATACTTTTTTTTTTGGCTTTTTAAAGCTAAAAAGATAAAAGAAATGGAAAAAACAAGATGAAACTATGTGTATGCACATTGGTGTTTTATACATAGCTTATTTCAAGAGGAGCTAATAATTATAATAATAATACCTAGGGTTTACTGAGTACTTACTAAGTGCCTGGCACTGTGCTGAGTGTGTTATGGGATTGGTCTCATTTAATTCTCATAGCCACCCTAGAAGGTAGATTCTATTATTATCCTAACTTTGCTGATAAGGAACTGAGGATCAGAGAGTGGAAGTGACTTATCCAAGGTCACACTCTATTACGTGAAGTCTGGCTTATGGAGAGAAATTGTTCCCTTGCCCAAGACTAGGGGGTGTCATTACTCTTCCTGTGTAGTCTATTTCCTAATCCTGGCCTTCTAAGACTTTGATTCCTCACTATCTAGGATATCTCATGAAGGTGGTCTAGAAAGATTCTTAGGGGATTCACTCCATCTTCCATTTAATCAGCAGGATGTATGGAAATCCTATACACCGGGCACTCTGTTGGGTCCTGGACATTCAGAAAAGTAAGACACAACCCCACCTTCAAGGAGAGTACATCGTGTTAGTTATGTAAAATACCAT